ATTTCTCTAGTAGACCTCACGACCTGTGGTGAAAAAACGTCCACTACATAAACAGCATGAGCAGCTACATCAATGTTATGTTGGAGCACCACTTGAGAGAGCTGCTGTTAATGTGCTTGGTCTTCTGCCACAAAGAACAGTAAGAATCAGTAAATCGTAGTTGTCATAGGTTATTTCACTAATAGGTCAAAAGTGTGTTCTGCTTTTAACCAGGAAGAAGAAACTCTAGCAAAGAAGACTGTCAATGAATTCGTTTCAAGATTTGAGGTGTCTATGGACCTTTTCTCAGATCAAGTGAAGACCTTTAAACCAGTATTGTTTGTAGAAATGTGCAAGATTCTTGGAAGCAAAAAGACCAGGACAATGAGCTCTTCTGATGGAATGGAAAGATACAATTGTACTCTTTTAAATCCATTAGACATTTACATGAATGAACATAAGAAAACTTGGGGCCAAGATCATCACTACTACTTGGAGTTAGTTACGGGCATTCCATGGGGAGAGAACTTATGGTGCCTTGTGACTGTCTCTACTCATATTCAGAGGACCGTCACTAAGCAGAATGTTACACAAAATATGCTGAGAGACTTTGGACCACCATTGATGACATGCATAGCTTTACCAAGAAAAGACTTAAATAAGCTAGTAAAAACATTAAAAGCTGCAATGATGTTAATGCTCATAAGACTGGATTCCACAGAGGTGACATGATATCACTCTATAATCCCTGCTGCAAGTTAAGCATGTGTTGGAGAGAACTATATGTTGTATTGAAAAGAATCAATGATGAGGATTACAGAATCCAGAATCCAAGCATAAGATCATCCACCATGGTCTTCTTTGGAATTATTATGGTGAGAAAATAGTAAGCTGGTTAATTTCAGGGAAATTTTACCTATGGAAAGTCAACCTGCTGAAGATCAAATGGGTCCTATTGAGACCATTTCCAGAGGATCGACAATGATAGAATCACCAGTGGACTTGCTCAACCATCTAACTATGGAGAACTGTCTCAGTGACAGAACACCAAGTGACAGTAAGGTACAAAAGGCCTTCCCGTCTTTATACTATAACTTCTGGAAAATAAAACTAGCGAACGACTTAGTGAATGGATAGTTTGGTGTCTAGTTATTAATTTTGTAAACTATTGTTGAAGGAGTTTCACAGTTCAGGAGAGGGCAGTATTATAAACTGTATTATAATTTATATGCTTGTTCACCAGAAGCAGCATTTCCTTATATCATAATGATGGTGTAATGATCTTGAAATTTTATTAAATGCAAAACAAGAACAATGCTACTACAAGAATTAGCACATTAGTCAATCATATCAGTGAAGCAGTGAGTAATTCAGTTTAGTGTTAGTAGTGTTACGCCTCTGGTCGTTTGTTAATTTCCCGGTATAAATTCTTCACGAGGAACTTCAGAGATACAAGTCCTTTCTTAAATAAAATTAGTTTATTTTTTCTCAATTCAACTTTCCAATAAACTTAATTTCCACAGTTACTTTAAACACATGCTATAATTCACAATGATTCACGCACTTACTTACGGTCACTACTGTGCTTGACTCAATTGTCCGTCTTTATCTCTGCCTGTCTACAATTCAATTCCGATTAATTTGTCTCACGTTATCCGGCGCACTTATATACAGGAAAGAGGGCGCCTAGCACATACTGGATTATTCGTGATGTTCCCCGATCCTTCTAGAATATCATGACGTGTTACCAGCGTCACGTGACTACCGCTGTCTAACAGTAGGTTTATCAGGTCTCTTCAGTCACTTGAATGATTAGCAAAAAATCCACGTTGAAAATGTTATAAGTAAGTTAGGCATACATTAGTATTGTAGTTCCTATTGGAACATTCTTTGTGAAGTTAAGCCTTCAATTTGTATCAAAGTGAATGTAGCCTGTAGCAAATCTTATTGAAGAAATAAATTAATTCGTTAATTGTTACGTAGACTGGACTTGGCATTATTTCTATCAATAATGTAAAAAACAAAACCCCACAAGAAACCATAAAACAGGTTATAGTACTACTAAGACTGTCTATTGCCATCCATAGATTTGAAGTGCCTATCTCAGGGAAAGCAACCAGCCAGCAGCTATCGTCATTAAGTCTTTGTCTATTCTTCACCAATGTATAATGGAATTAATTGCCACATTATAATGACCCGATGGCTGAAAGGTGAACATGTTTGGTGCTGGGTTTCTATCCCAAAATGTACTACCAAAAACTGATTTTTATGGTATGTAGGTCTAAGTCTGTGTAGTTTTTGTATAACATGTAGTTAAGAAAGTCGTTAAGTTGATTTTGATCTAGCTACCTTTATACGTTGTCTTTCTAAGGAGATAACGGCTGTTATGCCGCTGGCCCGGCATGGCCAGGTGGTTAAGGCACTCGACTTGCAATCTGAGAATTCCTAGTCTCATGACTGAAATGTCAAAGCCAAAGGGACTGCTACCTACCTCTTTCAAAATTATTTGGAAACTTTGGTGGTCCCTACTATTAATTATGACAAGTATAACTGTAATTATGTTAGGCTATTTTAAATTCCTAGAAACCGTGTTTGATGCTCAATTAAGAACAGGTAGTAAAACTTGCACTATTGTTAATTTTGATTTGAAGGATAATTGTTAACAATCTAATCAAAAGTAATGTTGCGTCATCGAGGTCACGTGACTAGTATCACGCCACCTCTTTCTAGAAATATCCTGTTCCTTCAAGAATGCCCTAGCATTTACTAGATATGTGTTAGTCTTGTATATATAAGACGCTCACAACGTGACGGGACAACAGGGTAATGAGTAAATTGAATTGCAGTCAGAGAGAATATTGTTAAGTACGTGAGAAGTTCGTTGAGAATTATAGCGCGACTGTTG